CACATCTCCCTCTCTCACTCTGCCTTTCAAATAAACAATTTTTTATCTTTAAACAAATTTAGTACAGATAATTTCTGTGACTGCAACCTTATATAATTATTTTTTAAAAGATTTATATTCTGTTTTCATTAGAAAGGCAGATGTACAGAGTGGAGAGACAGAGAGGAAGATCTTCCATCTGTTGATTCACTCCGCAAGTGACTGCAATGGCTGGAGCTGTGCCAATCTGAAGCCAGGAGCCAGGAACTTCTTCCAGGTCTCCCACACAGGTGCAGGGTCCCAAGGCTTTGGGCTGTCCTGCACTGCTTTCCCAGGCTACAAGCAAGGAGCTGGATGGACAGTAGGGCTGCTGAGATTAAAACCAGTGCCCATAAAGGATCCTGGCACGTTCAAGGCAAGAACTTTAGCCACTAGGCTACCACGCTAGGCTGTTCCTCTCAACTTAAAAGAGCTTCCCCCTTAGGTTTCTTTTTTTTTTATTGTCCAAATAACTTTAACAGCTTCTTGGGGAGACCTTCTGTGGTCTGAAGGCAGAGCTAACAGAGTAAAATCCCAGTCAGTTAAAAGCCCCAACAAAACATCAGCAACGATATACAGTGTCATGGAATTAATTGACATAGTATTGAGTAAACAATATGTTAAAAATAATGCAAGTTCAATTTTTCAAAACACATGTGTTGAGACCCCTCTTAGGTTTCAATCAGAGAACATTTGAAATGAAAACCCAGCCATGGGGCCCAGTGCCTTGGCTCAAGTGGCTAAGCCTACACTTGCAACGCCAACATTCCATATGCATGCTGCATCATGTCCCGGCTGCTACACTTTCTTTCCTGCTTCCTGCTTGTGGCCTGGGAAAGCACTGGAGGATGGCCCAAAGCCTTGGGACCCTACACAACCACTCAGGAGGCCTGAAGGAAGCTCCTGGCTCCTAGCTTTGGATTGGTTCAGCTCTGGCCACTGCAGTCATTTAGGGAGTGAAGCAGAAGATGGAAGATCTTTCTCTCTGTCTCTCCATAAATCTGAACTGGTTTCATACCAGCTCAGATCCAACTATCCCAGCTATTTGGATAGTGAGTGAGCCCATGGAAGATCTTTCTGTCTTTCCTTCTCTCTGTAAATCAGCTTTTCCATTAAAATAAATAAATCTTTTTTTTTAAAGATTTATTTTTATTATTTTTTCATTGGAAAGGTGGATATACAGAGAGGAGAGACAGAGAGGAAGATCTTCCGTCCGATGATTCACTCCCCAAGTGAGCGCAACGGGCCGATACTATGCCGATCCGAAGCCAGTCCGCGACTGCTTTCCCAGGCCACAGGCAGGGAGCTGGAAGGGAAGCGGGGCTGCTGGGATTAGAACCGGCGCCCATATGGGATCCCGGGCATGCAAGGCGAGGACCTTTAACCACTTGCGCCACTGCGCTGGGCCCTAAAATAAATAAATCTTAAAAAACAAACAAACAAACCCATGCACTGCTTTGACATGTAAAACAAAGGTGTTGATAGTAAGCTGAAGCAAAAATTCAATGAACATTTATGGAGAAGGATGTGTTATTTTGGGATCCTGACAGACCTGACAGGTCTGCAGCCTCGTGAGCTTACATTCATGGTGGGAGGAGACGAGGAAAAGCAAAGATGCCTGTTGCAATGAGTAGACAGCAGGCTGGTGCGAGCAAGGGGGAGGGACAGCTACATATGAGACGGGGTAAGAGACGCCTCCATGAGGTGGGCACTTGGAGCTGACATTGGGGAATGTGACTACCAGCTTCTAGGAAGGCCAGCAGACTTGATTCATTCACTTCTTTCCTAGGAAGCGCACCAGTAGTTTCTAAACCAAGAACGGTCCCAACAGAAGTTAGAGCCTTGCTTGGGCTCTGAGAACGCAAATCTCAATTATACGAGATTTCAGAGACGAGGAGCGGAACTTCATGTGCCTGGAGAAGGTATCCAAGTTGGACCCTGAAAGGTAGTTGAGTTTTGGTTGTGGGAAGAGTGATTCGGAAGGGGATGCTGATCTGCAAATCAGATGAGGGGCAGGGGAAGGACTCTACATCTGTGTGCTTGGCTGGCAAGGCTGAGGGCAGGAAGGCAAAGAGGAAGAGACGCAGTCAAGGACTGAACTTGCATTGAACTTCCTAAGGAACAAGCAATCTAACAGGAAAGCAAAGGCAGTGCTGAGACAGAACAGAACCAAACAGAGCTAGCGACAAGAAGGGGGATGAACTGGCTGAGAGCAGCCACAAGTCGCGGGGCTTGTGGACGGATTCTGCGGACATGTGGCTATGTGTGATGAGGGGCGTGTGGAGTCATAATGGCAGGCAAGCCTATTTGCCAAATGTGGGGAACAAAAGCCGATGGTGGAGAGTATTATTGGCCCACCACGATCCTGAAGCGCCATCAGATATCTCCAGGGCCTACGAGCAGCAGCCTAGCAGCTTAAGTCCTCACCTTGCATGTGCCGGGATCCCATGCGGGTGCTGGTTTGTGGCCCATCTTCCACTGTTCCACTTCCTATCCAGCTCCCTGTTTGCGGCCTGGGGAAGCAGTGGAGGACGGCCCAAAGCCTTGGGACCCTGCACCCAAATGGGAGACCTGGCAGAGGCTCCTGGCTCCCGGCTTCGGATCAGCTGAGCATCAGCCTTTGTCATCATTTGGGCAGTGAACCAGTGGGTACAAGATCTCTTCTCAATGTCTCTCCTCACCGTGAATTTGTCTTTGCAATAAAAAAAAAAAAAATCTTTAAAAACAGCAAAGCATCTCCAACAGAAATGCTTCCAGTAAAGACTGGAATGCAACAAGGAAGTCAGAGTCAGAGAAAGAGAGCTAGAAGGAAGTGCTACAGTTACTAAGGTCCAGAAGCTGCAGGTGCAGCTTTGCAGTGGTGGTCCATGGAGGTCATGCAGGAGGTAGAGTCAAAATGAGGATGACGCAGGAGGTCTATAGAGGAAGATGTAGAAAGAACACACAGCAGTGTGAGGGAGGGAGACAAAACAGAAAAAACTGGAAGATGAATATGAATCATATGATGCCAATGCTGAGAGGTGGACAAGAGGGAGAGGGGAGAGAGAATATGGAAGAAAGAGGGAAGAGCAAAAGGTTCCAGAAGCAATTGGAGTAAAAAAAATAGTATCGAGCCATGAACAGAAAAGAGAGCAATACATTTTCCCTTAAAAAAAAAAAAAAAAAGAAGATTGATTTATTTACTTGAAGCAGTAATACACAGAGAAGGTGAGACAAGGAGGTCTTCCCTTTGCTGGGTTGCTCCTAGAAGGGTCGCCATGGCCAGGGCTGGGCTGGGCTGAAGTCAGGGGCCTCACCAGTCTCCCACATGGCTGGCTGGCTGGCATCCTGGCACGACCATCTGCTGCTGCTCTCCTAGGCCCATGAGCAGCAGGCAGTTGGACCGAAGAGCAGCGGCTAGGATGTGGATTCTCCAAGTGCTGGCTTAACCCACAAGACATCAGGGGTGCTGGGCTTTCTGCTCAAAAGTGGAGAGGGAAGCAAAATACAGAACGCCCAAGGAGACAGAGTGTGTGAATGTGTGTGCGTGTGCGTGTGTGCACGCGCGCGCGTGCTGGTATGACACAGGGAAAGGGTATATGCCAAACACCATCAAACTTTTCAGCAAAGGAAGAGGCCTGAAAACTACATAGAGGAAGGGGACTGGAGGGGTGGAAAACAAAAAGCAGTTTTCAGTCAAATGGCAGAGTGTGTCAGGCCTTTGAATAACTTAGGTAAATATGGAGCGGTGGGAGCAAAGGCCATTGCCCAAGCAACTGAAACATTATTTCATTATACCAGTGTACTGTACGGGCATCCCACTCCATTCACACTACATTTCCCTACAATAGCAGAAGAGGCAGTTTGGGTTGAAAAAAGCAAATCCACCATAAAATGCTACTGTAGTAACCATGGTCTCCCGAGGGAGTCCCTGTGGAGATGACTGTTGGAAAAGGCATGCCACTTGCCCTGCCGCAATTACAAGGCTAATGAGCTGGGTTAGCCTCATAAGGGTGTTCTTGGTAAAAGCAAAAAAAAATTGTCTAATGCAGGGGAAAAAAGAAGAAGTGTGCAGTGACTTAGCCTTTTCAGAAAACGAAGGGCACGTGGTTTCTGTTATACATATAAAAAAAAATCCCCAGAGTGGTTGACAAAAACCTAACTCTCCAAGTGCGCACCGGGCTTCGAGCTAACTAAGCATCAAGCTAACTAAGCATCAAGCTAACTGCAGCAGCCGTGCTCTTGGCCCTGCCCCTTCGATTCTCAAGTGATGCACACGCGTTCTGGGTAGGATGTTGCAGCTACCCATGCACACGTGTGCAGCGATCCCATCAGGGATAAACACGCCCAGCTCCTCGCACACCTGCAGCTGCTTTCTATGGAGGAAAAAAAAAACCCCAACAACCCACGACCACGATGCAGCGAGGGTCCTCCAAGAACCCCAGACCTCCTGCTTCTCCTGCCTGGAACCCGGAACCCGGAACCCGCTAACTTAGAAGCCTGGCCACCCATGCCTTGCGGACACGCCGGCCAGCAGGGACTGCACAGCCGCGGGTCCCGGGAGCAAGAGGGGCTCCTTTCCTACTCACTGTCGATGTCCTCGATGAGGCTGGCGGTGCCGGGCATGTAGTTCATCTTGGGCTGCGAGGGAGACGGCGGCGACAGCGGCGGGGCAGCACCTCCTTCCTCACACCGCAGTCGCCGTCTCGGTGGGACCGGGACGCACACAGCCCGAGCCCGGCCAGCAGCAGTAGTTGAGTAACGGCTGTCAGTCGCCCCGGGCACGCCGGAAACGCCTCCATTTCACTCCCACCCGCTTCCGGCCTCCTGGGCTCTGCCTCCCCAGGAAGAGGCGGGATCACCAAGCGGTACCGCCGCCGAGGGGGCGTGGCCGGCATGCGATTGGCTGCTGCCGTCGGACACGCCCACTCAGCTCCGCCCGCGGGCGCCTGCGCGTTGGGCCAGCCGTGGGGGGCGGGAAGCGCTTCGGGGCAGCGGCGGCCATGTCGGCCCTGAGGCGCTCGGGCTGCGGCCCCAGTGACGGGCCGTCCTATGGCCGCTACTACGGGCTCGGGGGTGGCGACGTGCCGGTGCACGCGGCCCCTCCGCCCTTGTATCCTCCGGGGCGGCCCGAGCCGCCTCAGCCTCCCGTTTCCTGGCGAGGGCGCGGGGGCGGCCCGGGGGAGACCCCTTGGCCTGGGGAAAGCGGAGGAGGCGATGGCTACTACTCCACGACGGGCGGCTGGCCGGACTCGGGGCGGGCCGGAGGAAGCCACCAGGTCAGCTCGGCTTCGTGGGTGTCGGGGGACACCTGCTCAGGGCCTCGGGGGTGGGGTCGTCGGAGGGTGACAGCGTGTGTGTGTGGCGTCTGGGGGACGTCAGTGCACCTCTCGGGTCCCCAACGTCTCGGTTTTCCTGGTTGATGGTCTGGGTGGAGGAGGGGCGGTTTTGGGGTGACGCAGACGGGAACCCCAGGTGGTGGGATGCCTTGGCGTTGCTTTCGCCCCCTCCATGGCTGCGTCCGTCGCAGAAATCAGTGTGTCCGGTGGCTGTTGGGGGATTGAGGGGAATGGAGGGTCCTGCGGACGATGCTGTGGTCCTGCGTGGCTCCCGGGTTAGGGAAGCGGCCCCTCCCGCCGAACAGGACCCGATCCTCGGGGCACGGCGTGGGCGTGGGCATTTAGTCCTTTTCCCTTAAAGCTTTGTCCGGTCACTGCTGACCACTTGTCTTATTTGGTCGTTGCAAGGACTTGCAAGGTAAAGGCTGTTGACAACGTCCCTGTTGTCGAATCTGGAACCCGGAGTCTGAGCGGTTAACTGGCTGGCTTGCCAGCCTTGGACTCGTCACGTTGTATTCTTTGCTATCTAGTTCGTCCAGAGAAGCGCTTCTGTTTTTGTGATTGCTATAGTCTTGGTGGGGGGTGGGGGTGGGATGGAGGGCTGTCAGTGTCACACCTCTCTCTTCCCGACAGAAATTGTAACATCCTCTGTTGTTGAAAATGTAGTGTATTGCTGGTGAGAATGCCGGGTGCTTGCCGGTTACGTCGTAGCTTGCAAACCCACACTCTGATTCCTGTCTGCGTGTTCCCTGCTAGTCAGCCTTGGAGGGCAGCTGGAGATGGCCCAAGGGGTTGAGCTCTGGCCACGCACGAGTTCCTGGCTCTGAATTCAGCCTGGCTCAACCCTGGCAGGCCGGGGAAATGAACCAGCAGATGGAAGATCTTTTCCTTCTCTATGTAAATCTGACTTTCCAATAATAATAAGTAAATCTCTTTTAAAATATTTATTTTCATTTATTTGAAAGGTAGAGTCTCAGAGAGAGGAGGAATGAAAATCTTCCATGAGCCAACTTCCTTGGCAGGTAGTTAAAAGCCAGGAGCTTCTGGGTCCCCCATGTTGGGTGCAGGGGCCCAAGCACCCAGGAGCATCAACAGAGAGCTCCAGGTAGGTGTTGCAGGATAAACTTGCCATGCCACAAGCTTCAACTCTCACATCTTTAAAAATACTTGAAGTGGTACAGTGCTTTTGCAAATTGTTTGACAATTCCCCAGAACATTAGTAGCAGAGATATATGTGACCCTGCACGATGTCTCATAGGTCAATGCTTGAAAAACTGAAAACATTGACCCCTGTAGACATTTGCCTGGGTGTGTTTGCAACACTGTTCAGAGTAGCCAAATGGGAAGTCACTTAAATGTCCCCTCAACTGATGAGCAGATAAGCAAGATGTAGCATATTCGTAGAATGGAATATTACTGGCCATATAAAGGAATGACATCTTGATATGTGTTGTATTGAATCATGATAATGTGTGAATTTGTATGTTGTAACATAATTCATAATGGGCTTAGGGGACTGGAGGCATTGGGGAACATATGGGATTTTTTATTTATTTTGATTTATTTGAAAGGCAGTGACAGAGAAAGAAATATCTTCCACTCATTGGCTCGTTCTCCAAATTCCCACAGTAGCTAAGCCTGGGCTGACCTCAGCTGGAAACCCAGAACCCAGTCAGGGTCTCCTGAAAGGGTGACAGGCAGGGACCCGAGCAATCATGCCCCACATAGCGTGTGCCACAGGAAGCTGGGCTGGATCACAGGCACTCTAATGGGGTGGGGGTTTCCTCAGCGGAGTCTCAGCCCACTGTGCCCAGCCACCTGCCCTTGTGTCTGTCTGCAAAGCAGGCAGAGGTCTCCCACCTGCTGAACCGTTACCCAGATGCCTGCGAAACTGAGCTGGGCCAGGCCAGAGCTAGGAGCTCAGTCTGGGGCTCCACCTGTCGCCTGCCATGGTGCCCATCAGTGGGAAGCCGAGGTTGGGAGCAGAGCTGGAATGCAAGCAAGCCCAGAGAGGGGATGTGGGCGTCTCAAGCAGTGTGCTAACTGCTGCGCCAGGTGCCTGCCCGCCTGCTAGTCTGCCTGCTCGCCTGCCCGCCCCCAGGGCTTCGTTTTGAGGTTGGTAAAATGTTTGAACTTGGTGGTGATGGTTGCAAAACTCTGAGCAGACTAAACGTCATAGAATGGCATGCCGTTAAAAGAGTGAGCTTTATGATACGTTAATTATGTCTCAATAAAGTTTTTTATGAGAAAAAAGATGTGTCACAGTTAGAAATTAGTTGTACAAGAAGATCCATATTGTCTGTGCCTAAATCTGGAGCGAGTGAGCTGCCTTGGAACTTGCATGATTCAGTGAGGAAATGCTTGCCGTAGAAGCAGCCAAATTAGAGGAGAGTGAGTGAAGGCAAAGAAGAGAGGACCTCAGGCTAGTGATAGACTTCTGCTGGGCTTGCTGTGCTAGCAAAGCAGATGTGTAGATTGCTTGAATAAAAAAAAAAGGCCCGGCACGATAGCGTAGTGGTTAAAGTCCCCGCCTTGCACGGGCTGGGATCCCATATGTACACTGGTTCTAATCCCCGGCGGCCCCGCTTCCCCTCCTGCTCCGTGCTTGTGGCCTGGGAAAGCAGTGGAGGGATGGCCCAAAGCCTTGGGACTCTGCACCCGAAGGAGACCTGAAGGAGGTTCCTGGCTCCTGGCTCCGGATCGGATAGGAATTGGGAGTAATGTTAGGTGGTCTCCTCTGTTTCCCCCTCTAATATTGCCCAAAAAATAAATAAATCTTTAAAAAAAAAGTATTTGAAAGGCGCAGTTAGAGAGAGGGAGAGACAGTGTGAGGTTTTCCAGCCAATGGCCCACTCTTCAGATGAACACGGTGGCCAGAGCCAGGATCCAGGAGCTTCTTGTTTCCCTGGTGGGTGCAAGGGCCCAAGCACCTCAGCCATCTTCTGCTGCCTTCCCAGGGGCATTAGCAGGGAATTGGGAAGTAGAGCAGCTGGGACTTGAACCAGCACCCATAAAGAGTGCTGCGGCCACAGATGGTGGCTTTACGTGTTATGCCACAGCACCAACTCTGAAAAAAAAAATTCTTAAACTTGAAAGGTAGCAAGGTCGGTGGAGATTGTCAATGTTCTGGTTTTCTCTCCAAATGCCCACTGTAGAGAGGGATGAACTAAGGTGAGGCCGGGAGCCTGGAATCCAGTCCGGGTCTCCTTGTGGGTGACCAGGACCCAAGTACTTGGGCTGTCCCTGCTGCCGCCCAGGTTCTGCGCTAGCAGCAAGCTGGAATCAAGCAGAGCTGGAACCCGGATGTGGTATACAGGCGTCTTTACTGCTGAGCCCAATATTCACCCTAAAAGTGTGTTTTGGGGGGCTGAGTTGGGAGCATGTTGAAGCAGTGAGAAAGGTAGCATAAAGGTAGCATTTTTATTGTTGTGGAGGAAGTTGTCAGGTGTGGTACAGACAGGTGTGCCCATAGGTGGGCGATGATGCTGGAGTAGTTGGAGACAACACTGAAGATGTGTAATTGGCATTTGTAAGCCATTTAAGACTTTGTACCTGACATTTCAGGTTGATGACTCAAATTGTAGATGTCTAGATTGATCATTTTTATTTTCTTTTTTCAAGATTTATTTTTTATTGGAAAGGCAAATATAATGACAGGAGGAGAGAAAGCTCTTCCATCCAATGGTTCACTCCCTAAACGGCCGCAGCAGCTGGAGCTGAGCCAATCTGAAGCCAGGAGCCCGAAGCCTCTAACCAGTCTCCCACGCGGGTGCAGGGTCCCAAGGCTTTGGGCTGTCCTCAACTGCTTTCCCAGGCCACAAGCAGGGAGCTGGAAGGAAAGCGGGGCTGCCAGGACATGAACCTCCCCCCCCCCCCCCCCCCCCCGCCGTGGGATCCCAGCACTGTTCAAGACGAGGACTTTAGGTGCTAGGCTACTGTGCTGGGCGCTATCATTTCTTTCTTTCTTTTCTTTTCTTTCTTTTTTTTTTTTTCTTTTTCTTTCTTTTTTAGATATGAACGTAGAGGTCATTATTTTAAGCAAAATAAGAGGAGCAACTGAAGACAGGTCCCACATGATCTCACTCAAGGAGTACAAAAAGCAGGTGATCTCATAGGTCACAACTCTGCAGATGGTTAGGGGATGCTGGGAGGGAAGACAGGAAGTGGAGACTCGGGAAAGGCTAGTTAATAGGTCCAAAGTTACAGTTAGGGGTGCTGGGTTCTGCTGCAGCAGTTGCTATGATGCTAACATGCTGCTTATTTATTAAAAAGAAAATTACAATACAGTTTTGTTAACATGGAAAAAGGAATGTTAAATGTTTGAGGGGCTGGAAGGATTTAATCGGATAACCCATCTGTATCAAAACAATCATGAGAGCTCATAGATATGTATAATATTTGTGTGTCTATCAAAATATTGTAAAAGAAAATGGTACTGTAAGAACCAGCATGCACACTTGATCCAGATTCGTCGGTTCTCACTGTCTTATTCCCTTTGCATTATTCCTTTTATTTTTCCCCAACACACACATACATGTGTATGTGTGATTTATTTTTTGAATCCTGCATGCATTATGGCCCTCTACATCGAAATATTTCAAAATACTGCTTTTCGTTTTTTTATTTTTTCAGATTTTATTTTATTTTTAATTAGAAAGTCAGATTTACAGAGAGGGGGAGAGACAGAAAAAATCTGCTGGTTCCTTCCCCAGGTGACCACAACAGCCAGAGCTGAGCTGATCCAAAGCCAGGAGCTTCTTCCTCCCGGTCTCCCACAGGGGTGCAAAGTCCCAAGGTTTTGGTCTGTCCTCTGCTGTTTTCCCAGGCCAGAAGTAGGGAGCTGGAAGAGAAGTAGAGTAGACGGGAAATGAGCCAGCTCCTATATGGGGGCATACAAGGCAAGGACTTTAATAGCCATTCGGCTATCGCGTCGTGCCCTGCAGTTTTGTCTTTAAAGTTATGTATCGTTATTTGAAAGGCAGAGTTAAGAGAGATTGAGAAAATTTCCATCCGCTGGTTTACTCTCTCCAGGTGGCTGTCGTGGCATGGACTAGGCCAAGCCGAAGCCAGGAGCCAGGAGCTTCATCCAGGTCTCCTATGCTGGTGCAGGGTCTAAGCACTTGGTTCATGCTCTGCTGCTTTCCCGGGTGCATTCGCTGGGAGCTGGATCAGAAGTTTAGTAGCCTGATAGGAGAACCCTGGGACTGCTGCTCCCGCTGGGGAATGCAAGAGCCAGGGCTGTGGCACCCCAGGCTGGGTAAAGCTGTGGGGCCCATCAGCATGTGTGTGAGCTGGGTGTGGCGGTGGCCAGATGGGGCGTGGCTCTGGCGCCTGCAGCACTTGGCCAGGAGAATTCTTCCTGTTCTGCCTTCCATCCTTTGATATCAGCAACTGAGGAGGCTCACTTCCGGTACATGTGCTCCAAGGTTGGATTACACATCCTGTGATGTTTTTCCTGTGATCAGGGTCTGGGTCCAGCAGTCGAGTTGGGGAGTTCCCCCAAGAAACCTCACCTGTGGTGACCTCAGACTTGATTCTTGAGTCTTGTGTGCACCAGCCAGTGCAGGATCAGGTGTGGTCTGACACCTGCATCAACCAACGCACAAACAGTCGATGCAGCTTGGTCAGTTCTGCCTCAGCCTTCTGCCTCACGTGAAGCAATAGGTGCTGTGGCCAGCCTAGCCAGCCCAGCACAGACTGGTCCTCACGCAAACCAGCAGATGCCGTGGTCTTGTCAGGGCAACCCCAGATAACCCTCACCAGCCCACCTTCAGCCCTGGTTTTTGCGTGTGCCAGCCTCTCCTGTAACGTAGCTTGGCTCAGCCAGAAACCTCCAGCTCTCTTGCACACCCATGGGTGCTGCATCTTCGCACAGCTTGATCAGCTGCTAGACCTGGCCCTCATACATGCAACAGGTACTGCTGCCTTGTCCAGCCTGGCTGCTCCCAGTCCTGGTTCTTGTGCTCACCAGTGACACATACAACCTAGCAGGGAGGTACTCACCATTCCCCTGCCAGGCATATTCCCCGTCCCAGCTGCAGGACCTGTAGGCTTGTGTGTGGGCTGGGTCTGATGCTAGGCGGGATGGGGCTAGGCTCCAGCATCTGCTGCTGATCACAAGAGCCAAGATGCATATGGGACGGGGTAGGCTAGGCTGTAGCACCCAATGATGACAGTGGGAATGGATGCAGGCTAGTTGGGCTTGTTCCCAGTGCTTAGCCATTTTCCGTCCAACATCTCTGGGCAATCTGCTACCTCCCCCACCTGGGGTAGTGTGTCCAAGCCCAGAGTTTCCTGCCTTCCCCTCTTTTCTTTTCTTTTCTTTTCTTTTCTTTTCTTTTCTTTTCTTTTCTTTTCTTTTCTTTTCTTTTCTTTTCTTTTCTTTTCCTTTCCTTTCCTTTCTTTTCTTTTCTTTCTTCCTTCCTTCCTTCCTTCCTTTCTTTTTCTCTCTCTCCCTCTCCCTCTCTCTCTCTCCCTCCCTCCCTTCCTTCCCCTCCCTTCCTTCCTTTCCCTCCCTCCCTTCCTTCCTTCCTTCCTTCCTTTCTCTCTCTCCTTTTTTTTTTCAGAATAAACAACTATGGGTCCGGCACGGTCCTAAAGCTAAAGTCCTCACCTTGCACGCCTGGGATCTCATATAGGTGCTCGTTCTAATCCTGGTGGCTCCACTTCTAATGGTTGTGACCCTGCTTCCCATCCAGCTAGAAGCTTGTGGCCTGGGAAAGCATTTGAGGACAGCCCAAAGCCTTGGGACCCTGCACTCATGGAGACCTGAAAGAGGCTCCTGGCTCCAGATCGGCTTTGGATCAGCTCAGCTCCAGCTGTTGCAGCCACTTGGGGAGTTAACCAGAGGATAAAAGATCTTTCTGTATCTCCTTCTCTCTGTGGATCGGCCTTTCTAATTAAAAAAATGTATAACTGGACTATGCTGGCATGCTGGTATAGTTAGCCCAGATTTGCATTAATCCTGCACAGAATGCCGGCTGGCTGATGACTGCTTTGTAACACTTGCCTGGGTAGTTGCCTAGAGCAATGAAGACTAGAAGAAAAGGCTATGCATGTTGTTACAAATATGCAATTTATTTTTTTAAATCTGTTGCCTTTCAACTAGTGCTTTTTACATGCAAGTTTTACGTTTTTTTAAAGGTTTATTTTTATTTTTATTGGAAAGTCAGATATACAGACAGAGAGGAGGCGAGACCGAGAGGAAGATCTTCGGTCGATTGATTCAATCCCCACGTGGCCGACATGGCCAGAGCTGAGTCGATCTGAAGCCAGGACCCGGAGTCTCTTCCGGGTCTCCCACGCAGGTGCAGGGTCCCAAGGCTTTGGGCTGTCCTCGATTACTTTCCCAGGCCACAAGCAGGGAGCTAAATGTGAAGCAAGGCCACCAGGATTAGAACCGGTGCTCATATGGGATCCTGGTGTGTGCCAAGTGAGGACTTTAGCTGCTAGGCTACTGCGCCAGGCCCAGTTTTACTCTTTTTTTTAAGGATTTTTATTTAATTTTATTTGAAAGGCAGATTCTACAGAAAGAACGAGGGACAGAGAGACAGATCTTCCATCTGCTGGCTTACTCCACAAGTAACTGTAGTAGTGGAATCTGAGCCGATCCAGAGCCAGGAACTTCTTCTGGGTCTCCCACGTGGGTGCAGGATCCCAAGGCTTTGGGCCGTCCTTGACTGCTTTCCCAGGCCACAAGCAAGGAGCTGAATGGGAAGTGGAGCAGCTCAAACGTGAACTGGCACCCATATGGGATATTTAATTACAGAGAGTCATCGAGGGAGGATCTTCCACTTGCTCATTGGCTCCCAGAGGCCTGCAGTAGCCAGTGCTGGGCCAACCAGAAGGTAGGAGTTAGGGACTTCACTGGGTCTCGTGGGTGACAAGGTCCCAAGCAAGTAACTGGCTCATCATCTGCAGCCTTCTCACCTCATTAGCACAAAACTGAACTGCACGTGGAGGAGCCTGCACACTAGTACAGCACGTGGGCACCCCGAGCTGATGCTTGGCCGTAATGCTGCGCCACTGCTCCCGTAATGCCCACCCCGAGTTCCTGTGTGTGTGTACAAACATATACAGGAGTATATATATATATACACACGCTCTTGTAACTTGCCTCTGTCACTTGATCCAAGAATGGTACAAGAATTAAATTTTACTTTATTTTCCTTTTCCTTTTAGGAGCAGCCACAGTATCCTAGCTACAACTCGAACTATTGGAATTCTGCTGCACGCCCTAGGGCTCCTTACCCAAGTACATATCCTGTAAGACCAGAATTGCAAGGCCAGGTATGGGTTAAAATTGGCAAAATTTTAAAATATCTTCTTAATGACTTAATGAAGTGACTGACTTTTCAGACTTATTGAGATTTCATATTAGTGATGTATAGGACTCCCTCCCCCCCTTTTTTTTTTAATCTTTTTTTTAAAGATTTATTTTATTTTTATTGGAAAGGTGGATATACAGAGAGGAAAATCTTCTGTCCAATGATTCACTCCCCAAGTGAGCTCAACGGCTGATGCTATGCCGATCCGAAGCCAGGATCCAGGAACTTCTTCCTGGTCTCCCACACGGGTGCAGGGTCCCAAAGCTTTGGGCCATCCTCGACTGCATTCCCGGGCCACAAGCAGGGAGCTGGATGGCAAGTGGGGCTGCCGGGATTAGAACCAGCGCCCATATGGGATCCTGGGCGTGCAAAGCGAGGACCTTAACCACTGCGCCACTGCGCTAGGCCCTTTTTTTAAAATCTTAATGGGCTCTGCTAGTCTCAGTGTTTTTAGCTGAGGTAAAGAAATATGTGGGCAGGTGTTACCTATAATAGAGGTAACTTGAGGCATAATAGATTATTCCTCAGGGGACCTGGCAGACGACAAACATAAAATGTATTACTAAAAATTTTGAAGAAATTGACACCTAACAGTCATGTATCTTTTTGGGTTGGGGTGACATTTCAGTACATGTTTGTAATCTGTACCAATCAGATCAGGGCAATTGGGTTATCTGTTCCCTTAGCCGTGTGTCACTTGAAATGTGAGTTCTTCTGGCAGGTATGTTATTTTAACTATTTCAAGCATAGAAAGAAAATACAGAAAATAAGTAGAGCTTCTAACATTTGTATGTGTGTATATATATATATATATATTCATGAACATTACATAATGTTGCTTAACATGTTCTATTTTTTTGTAAGTTTTAATTTTCTTTTTACTATTGTTCACATAGCTAAGAGGGAATCATGTCCGTGTCTGGTTAGGGCGGAGAGAGTCAGGTATGGGGGGTGGGGGAAGCACACATGCTACAGCTTCGGTTTTTCTTCTTCTGCATCTGCAAGGGGGACGGGGAGGAGGATTCTCTTGCTGCCAAACTAGATCGACATTGTGGGGGGGGGTGTCATTTGATTGATGTCCCCTCATCATTGATGTGGGGAGGAACGTTCTGAGGGTGTTAAATGAATGTTAGTTCTGAGACGTTGTTGATTCTTTTGTTTTGGAGTTGAGAAAACCTTTCCAAGGTCCCTTGCTTGACCAAGTCCGCCGTAGTGAATCCACAGGATCAGGAACATGCTACAAATCTTGGCCGGGAGAATTATCCCACCTTTTCTGCTTTCCATCCTCTGCCAAGGCAGTGGACATCCTCTGCTGGTCTAGATGAGCTGGCTGTCACGTGCCCCATGTACATCAGGACGTACTGTCCAGTGCAGAGGCATCAGAAACTGAGGGGGCCCAGGTTTGACATACGCACTCCGAAGTTGGCCTGCGCAGCCCGTGGTTTTCCCTGTGGCCAGGGTTCTGAGTGCAGCAGTCCAGTCAAGGAGTCTCCCAGGAAACCTCACCTGGCCGATCTCAGATTGGACTCTCGTGTGTGTGCCAGCAGGTGCAGGATCAGGTTCAGTTTGTCACTTGTACCAACCGTGGACAGAGCTGCCTGATCCGTCCTGCCCCAGCCCGTGAGTGCTTGAGCCCAGCTCAGCTAGCCTGCCACGGGCCTAGCCCTCATGCATACCAGTGGCTGCTGTGGCCTAGTTGGGGCAACCCCAGTAGCACCCAGCAGGCCCTCCTCTACATCCGGTTTTTGTGTGTGCCAGCTTCTGCTGCGGTCTAGCCCAGCCCATTTCTCTTCTGGCCCTTGTGCACACCCGTGGGTGCAGTGCCTTAGCTCAGCTAGCTTAGCAGATATGTGCCAATCGTTCTGTAGGCATGTTCCCAGCTTAGATCTTGTGCCTGTCAGGATGTACTATGGTCCAGCCTGATGTGATTTGGACCCAGTCTTGGCACTTGCCAGCTGGTGCTGTGGCTTAGTCCCGCTGGCCCACACCTATGCTGGCTCTGTTCTGCCGATGGGTGCTACAGCTCAGCCTGCTCTGCTGCCAGCTGAGGCTCTAGTGGTCATCAGTGGGAAATGTGGCCCAACGGAGTTCCCAAGTTCCCCTACCAGGCCTGTACTGAGACCATAGATCTCACACATGCCAGCGGGGTCAGTGCCTCTAGGTGGCATAGTCTCCCCTAAATGTCCTCAATCTTGGCACTCTTATTTGGCAGTAGGCGTTCTAACCTCACCCTCCCCCCACCCTCCCGGCCACTCCCAGCCCCAGCTCCTGTGAATTTCAGGTGAGTTCTTGTCGGGTGAATTCTGTGGTCCGGCCTGGCACAGCCTATCATCCCCCTCCCCCCAGGTCTCCACGTAATCCAGTCCCACAAAGACAGGCCTACAAATCCCCTGACAAAAAGGGACTGTCACATTTGCTGTTTCTTTCCATTTTTTTTTCCTATTAACTGTATTTCTCTATGCATATAATTTTCTAAAATGACTTATTTTCTGGTGAGTTTTTTTCTTTAGTATTTGTTTATTTTCACTGAAAACTCAGATATGCAGAGAGGAGGAGAGACAGAGGAAGATCATCTATCCACTGATTCACTCCCCAAGTGGCCACAACAGTCGATGCTGCACCAGTCTGAAGCTAGGAGTGACAAGCCTCTTGCAGGTCTCCCACGCGGGTGCAGGGTCCCAAGGCTTTGGGCCGTCCTTGACTGCTTTGCCAGCCTGCAAGCAGGGAGCTGGATGGGAAGCGGGTGACTGGGACTTGCCAGCTGGTGCTGCGACTTAGCACCTGTATGGGATCCTGGTGCGTGCAAGGTGAGGACTTTTAGCCACTAGGCTGCCATGGCAGGCCGTATGCATATAATTTTTTTTTAAAATTTTAAAATTTTTTTAAATTTTTAAATTTATTTATTGGGCCTGGCGGCGTGGCCTAGCGGCAAAAGTCCTTGAGTGCGCCAGGGTGCTGGTTCTAATCCTGGCTGCTCCACTTCCCATCCAGCTCCCTGCCTATAGCCTGGGAATGTAGTCGAGGGCAGCCCAAAGCCTTGGGACCCAGCACCGACATGGGAGACCGGGAAGAGACTCAAGGATCCTGGCTTTGGATTGGCTCAGCTCTGACTGTTGCACTCACTTGGGGAGTGAATCATTGGATGGAAGATCTTCCTCTTTGCTCTCTCTCCTCCTCTCTGTATATCTCACTTTACAATAAAAATAAATGAACCTTAAAAAAAAAAAAGTGGAGAATCTGGGACATGAACCAGGACTCATAACGGATGCCATGCTCACAGGAAGTTGCTTTATCCATCTTACCAGAGCACTGGCCCTCAATTTTAAGTGTAGATTAGAATTCTCTATATAACAATGTTCTCTATAGAGTTAATAAATGTTTTTAAATATTTATTTTTATTTATTTTTTATTGCAAAGTCAGATATACGGAGAGCAGTAGAGACAGAGAGAAGATCTTCCGTGCGATGATTCATTCCCCAAGTGACTGCAATAACCTGTGCTGTGCCGACCTGAAGCCAGAAGCCAGGAACTTCTTCCAGGTCTCCCACATGAGTGCAGGGTCCCAAGTCTTTGGGCCATCCTCGACTGCTTTCCCAGGCCACAAGCAGGGAGCTGGATGGGAAGTGGGGCTGCCGGGACTAGAACATATGGGATCCTGGTGCATTCAAGGTGCTATGCTATGGTGCCAGGCCCTATAGATTTAAAATTTAAGATCATTCTATTATGATTGTCCTAAGGGATTTCCATAGTTCAATTTGTTCAGTTCTATTTTATTTAGTGATATAGAGTCTGAAATAATGAAAACAATTTTTCTTTGCGGTCTGATTAATTCAGAAAAATGATGGTGATATACTGCTATATAGGGCTGATTTTGCATCCAGAGCATTTTATTAAAATTGGAGGAAGACTTCCATATTTATACAAGCAACATACTAACAAAAAAAAAACAACTAGATTTTTTAAAGTTATGTATAGTGCCCAGTGGGGTAGCCTAGTGGGTATAGTTCTCGCCTTACATGTGCCAGGATCCCTTATGGGTGCCAGTTCTGATCTCAGCAGCCCTGCCTCACATCCCACTGCTTGCTTGTGGCTGGGAAAGCAGTTGAGGATGGCCCAAAGCCTTGGGATGATCCTGCACTTGCATGGCAGACCCGGAAGAAGCTCCTGGCTCCTGGCTTCAGATGGGCTTAGCTCTGGCCGTTGTAGCCGCTTAGGAAGTGAATCATTGGATGGAAGATCTTCCTCTCTGTATATCTGACTTTCCAATAAAAATAAACTAAATCTTTTAAAACAAAATTATTTTGTGAACTTCTGGGTGAAGTTGAAGTAGGTAATGAACTGGAGAATAAAAAAGGGTGTTACAGGGTGTTCATTTCGTGGAGCCCACACCTGTAGAGTGTTCGGGTGGGTCTCAGCTCCCCACCCTGAGAGGCAGCGGGTGACGGCCCAATTACTGCAACCCGTTATGGGAGACACGGTCTGAGTTCCGGGCTCCTGGCTTCCACCCGGCCCAGGGTCGGAATGCATCCAACAAAATAGCTGGGATGGCAGAGGGCCTCCTTGCCCAGTGGGAACCTGTTGAGATGAGGCTCCAGGAAGGAGGAGGCAGAGGGCCTCCTCGCCCACAGCACACCTCTGTCCCCAGTGACTCCTTGGAGGGGCTTCCTTGCTTTCCTGACTGTCTGAATGTCTGTGCTCTAGGTAGCCACTCACCTGAGGCCAGAGCAGTGCTCCCTAGCAGTGCTCCACCGCAGAGGGGCTTTGGTGCTGGCGCCCTGATAGTCTCTTGAAACTTCTCCCCTACATGAGCTGAGCTGCTAGTTAGAACCTGGTCATCGTGACTTAAGTTTGAGCTGTTTGAACTAAGTTTGAAGTGTGGCTCTGCCGAGGTTGTAAAACCTGGAACCCTGGAAATAAACCTTGTCAGTGGCCATCAGAGCTGTGTCCCCTCATTTTCTTTTC